GAAACCTTAGGAACAAAGCCTAGGTAACTTGGAGTATTATAAGACGTTACACAATGGGAAAGGGCTCCTAAGCTACTTACTACTACACATTTAGGTTTATACGTATATGTATATATGCACAATGTTGTAGTAAACAAAAGAAATTGGAGTAATTTTGTATAGGGTAGGCAAATGTAACTAAACAAACTGAAATAAGAAGAATAGTAAGACAGAGTACAAAGCGCTTGAGCTAAACTAATCCAAGGACAACGAGAAATGTACTCGTTGATCCTGTACCGCTCTCTCGCGACGCCATTCAGAAATGTCAAGCAGGTCCCAACATTACCAACGTCATGCAAGATTTAAATTCTTTTTGAAATGTAAGTTAACAATATATTATCTGAAATATAGTATCTGCACGTTCAATAGTAGACCGCTATTGAAAGTAACTGACGTGCAAAAAAAATTGTATAAATCTAATGTCCTTGCAATAAATCTAGCGATTATCCTTTTTTAAATTTGTCGAAATATGTACATTACATGATTGGTTCAATGGTTATTTTGAAAACTTGAATGCGCAATCAACTGATTAAAGTGCTGAAACATTCATAGCACGGCGAGTATAATAGTGTCCGATTCAGGATGCGTCAGGCGTGATGGAAGTGACCAATGGATGGAAGTTACCACGTGAAATTTTTATGGATCGAAAGCACGTATGGGAGGTGGGGCCACTATATCGATCGGATCAAAGTTTTGTCGGCTTTCGATTTTTTGAACTGGCATTAGATCGTTTATATGGGGCTCACGTGATCTTTCCAAAGAGAGAGAGAGAAAAAAAACGAAGGGAGAGAGAAGACACAAAACAATCTGCCGTGAAATACATTCCAGATCATGTATATAAAGCATTCTGAGTTTAAAAAGTTTTCCATTAGAGGAGAGTGGAGTGAAAGCGGATATAGGCGAGTCGGACGGAACTTGCCGTCTATTTTCGAGCGAAGTGCTACGAAGTGTACTCAAGAATTAATATGTTTTAAATGCAAAGCAGCTTGTCTAAAACTCATTGGACATTAATTATCTACGTTTACTTCTTCCTGTAAAAATTAATGACGTAGTTATTTTAATTTTCACATAGTTAGGAAATAAAACAATTCTGCTATACTGAAAAATTAGCCCAATTAATGTTTTCTTAAAACAAGGAGCTACGCGAGAATGTAATTGGTTTAAAATTTATATTAATATCTGCATGTATGTATATTGCGCTAACAAAACTGAATGATGTTTTTCAAATATATTGTGACACTGCAGAACGCCTGTGGTACCTCAACCAACTGTACGCGCGTGCAATACGTAAATGTAGAGATAAGGGATCGATAAACGAGCGTGTGCGTGCGGAAAGTGAACGGCAGCAGTTTACGATCGCGCCCGTCGCGTAATTGATCGGGTCCATTGAGTCAAGAATGCGAAGCTCTAAGTGGACAATGCGTAAAAGTATTTTATTGCCGACCGATTGATTGCTATAAAAACGTTTTACTGCCAGTTAAACGAGGATGTTTACGCAGCGCACCGACATATATACATTATCTTATCGAACGTATCCGTATCTACATTCACGACGGTGATTTTCGCGGATGCGCTAGTCAAGTTTCGAACGAACCTTTAAAACCTCAGAACCTCAAAACCTTTTTTCCAATATTATATATTGAAATGAAAAATTGCTCCTTTATTTCTTCAATTGAGAACTGTGCAAAAAATTTGAATAAATATTACATTCGCGTCATTAATTACTTGAGAAGGAAATAGACTGTGGGCGATTAGATAAATATTTAATTTTAGACAAACTGAATTTAAAATCCGTAGTTCGATAAGTGTCCCAAGTGTGTTTCTTGAAGATTTCGCTTAACAGCGAGCCTCGCTCTTATCATATCTCAGAAATAAACTTTCGAGTCGAAAACAATTTGCCGCGCGACGCCAAGCTAAACAACATCTCATCGATTTGGAGAAACGTACCTTACTCTCCAATTTGTTCTCCACTTTCTCTCCTCTCTCTCTCTCTCTCTCTCTCTCTCTACCCCTCGCCCCTCCCCTTCCTCTCTTTCTCCGCAATAACAGCGAGAACGTCGATTTCCGGCCAACATACACCCCATGAAATACTCATGAGCGGCGAATAAAAATTCTGCCGCGCGCTCGTTTGCACACGCAAAACCCGGCTAACGACCGACCGGGACCGTCCTTAATTACGCATTCCCCGCGTACGCGGTCTCCATTCTTCCCGCGTTTCGCGAGGTGCCGCGAAATTTCCCTGCCTCGCAGAACCGAGCGGCGGCAAAGCTGAGAGATCGGCGCCGTCTCCGGAAAGCCGGATGACGGATACGCGCTCCTCCAGCACGGCGCAGAGCGGCCGGATGAGAAGAAAAAAAGAACAGAGAGAGAGAGAGAGAGAAAAGAGAAATAAAATAAACGGCGGCGACGCGATTATTCGGTAGAAAAGCTTCGCAGCGGCGGTGCCAAAAGGAGACTGCGCTTTCCGTCTCCTTCGCCGCCGCTGTCTTCCTTCGCGACAATTAAGCTTAACGAGGCGCTGTTTGCCGGACATATTTGAGGCGGCTTCCCACTTATTAGCGCCGGCACGGCGCTAACTCTCCGCGGCGCGGCCCGTGCGGATCGTGCGTGTTTGCTCACCGTCGTGTACGCACCGACGCGCCGACGAAGACGAGCGGGCCACGGGAATAAGCGACGACGGCGACTAAAGGCTGCTTCTGAGCCCGCCTCGTCTCCGCACGAGGTGCGTCATGCGTGCGTACACGCGCGAGCCGACACCGAGCAAACAAGCGTCATTTGCATACGCGGCTTCTTAGCCTTTGCTTAATTAGGGGAACGCGACGCATCATCGTCGCACCATAGCTTCTGCCTCTCTCTCCCCGATCGCCATACCGCCTCGGATTCTCTCACCTGAGCTCCTCGGGTATGGGGAGAGTGAAAGTATTAAGAAACCCGACGGACAAGTTGATCGTATTCTACCAAACACGCCCCTCGCGAATTTTACTCGCGATTCCGTGTTCACATTATGGAAATTAGTTATGCACCGTCGATCAAGAGAATAATTGTATTCTTTATGAAGAGTTACAGCGTGCCAGAGATTTTATCAAATAAAATTTGTTGATAATTTTAGCGAAGATATATTTTCCAATTTATGTATATTGACGGAAGCAGCGTAGAATCTGTTTATCTTCAGCCATGTTGACCATCGATCGAGCAAACTTTGATATGTTTATCTTAAGCTGTGTAATAGTAAGATGTGTATATAACAAACAAAGCAATTATACCGACAAAATAGATAATTTTGGAAGAGCAAAGTCCCGAGAAAAGGCGGTTTACTTTCAAATAGTTGCAAGTTCAGGTGACGACATGTCAGTAGTCTGTTATATCAATTGGCGTTTTGTTCCACGTGTTTCTCAATTTGTAAGAAACGTTACGTCTGATTCGTCACACTCTTGATGTTACTAATGTTACAGAAAAGTTGTGGTCATTAGAGCAGAAGTGATCGCAAGAAATAGGCGGTAGATTGTGCAGGAAGGATGACGCAGAAAGGAGCGCCAGTACCAATGAGTTACGATTGGCAAACATCGGCAGCGTTTCCTCGCTCTGATACGCGGCGCCTCGTTGATCATTGTTATCTACAAGTTCTTTGGAATACACGAAAGATTGCTGCGAGAGGGAGGATGAGTTCCTATTTCTTTCTCCATCTTCGTTATTTCTCCTCGTACCTCGGTCGCAGTTTTATCTCGCGGTCAAATCGTTCCTACCTACGAGCCGAATATAAATGCTGTCCTACAATCGCTATGAGGAACATCCAGAGTGATCGCTATGCAGCGTCTCGCTTCTGGTGTAAAGAACATGAGAAACGTCTCTTTAAGCCTTCAATAGAATTATCAGCAATTGGATTGGCAGTTTAATAGCTAAATTATTACAGACCAAGTGAATGTGAAGTTAATCGGGCGTGATATTTTTCTCGTGAAGCAAAGTGGAAACATCGTGGGATAATAAATAAGCAAATAAAGATTCGTATCGCACCTAATATGATTTATTATTGTTGGCCTAATCAATAGAAGTTAGCAGAATTACACAGAGTCTTCATGAGCCAAAATATAGATAATAAGATAACTTTTTATGGTATATTAAATCATGACTGATATCATCAATAAAAATAAATAACAGTGAAATCGAACTAATTCTAAGCGGGAAAAAGAATGAAATATTAAAACAATAGTATGAAAAGTATTTTCCTCAAAACAGTACAAGTGAATCAAAAAGCTCATGAAAAAAGATTCGAAATATCGATTTGTTAAAAAATAAATGAGCTTAAAACTCATACATTTTGGTTACTAGAGAGAGTCAATTCCCCTGAGCAACATAACAATTTAACGTAACAGTAGAATCAATTTTTTCGCTATTTCTCAAAATCTATCAACGTTTTCCATTTTATAAAAATTTTTTGTAACTTTACCTTTTTTGGTTGTTAAGAGAAATGTTCAAGTTTTAATTTGAACTTTGTTTTCTCTCTAAAAGTCTATCAGTGATTATTCACTGTTTTCACTGATAATCCACTAATTGATTGGTAGAGAGTTTATCTCAATACTATGATTTTTTGCTGACTGTCATCGCTATTGAAATTTTTTTGAAGTTAAATAATTGTACTACAGTTTTATGGTCTGTTTTTTTACAAGTAAATGTGAATAGAAATATAAATAAGAATAATTATATTTATAATTTGTTATTAGCAAGTTCGCCAAGGATTAAAGTAGGACGTGTCAATGCAAATTGTTATCTACAATGCAATGGATGGTATTTTTTTCCTTTAACATATTATTTCAGAAATGAGTGAAACTTATATTCTTTCTCTGAGTTCAAAATTTGTTCCCAGTCAAATGTATCGATTGAATTTAAGACAGAATTAATGACAGAAATGACAGAATGTCCTGAAAAGTCTAGCTTAATGTTACTTTTGTAGTTACTTTACTCACCTTGCTATATGTTACTTTCGTTTTATCTTTAGTTCTCCTTTTGCCTATCCGAAATAGCATCACAAACACTGCAGCATGGTATGAATATTATTGTTAAAAGAGTGTGGAGTAATGGCCTTATGCACCTTGAACTTCCTAAATTTGTCCAAGCATCTGTAACCAATGGTAAATTCATTTTGGTTAATTGTCAATGTCGCCGCTTTTCAAATGTTCTTAATGTATAGGATAAGTAAGAAGTTTTTTGTTACTGTTTTTTTCATCACCTCAAGTATTTTGTCATATTTGTGCTACAATTACATGCACCACTGAATAGTCTTCTTAATCTTAAATTAATTCCTTTAAATATCCACTCAAAAAGGTGGACCGTTACTTTTAACGAAATATTAACGCAAAATTCCATACTTTTTTTGGTGAAGTATAAGATAGGAAAACAGAATCATCGAAAGAGAAATGTTTGAAATAGAAATTTTTTTAACAAAGAGCAAACTAAACAATTCGAAACTGTTATTTTCTCTCTAACCAACCTTTATCAACTGCCACAAGATAAGTACCCTTTACATTCTTGTAGGCAGAGCACTACTTTTCCATTCTGTGTTCTAAAAAAAAACTGGAATTTTCCATTTTGCTAGATGACTTTTTCTCCCCCTCCCCCGTTTACAATTCCAACCTTAGTTTTTTTCATAAAGTTAAAATTTTTTAGTAACTATGTCAACTCTATTTAACTAATATTCATTTAAGATTAATAAAAAACTATTAAAGTTAATAAAATTTACTTAAATTATATCATTGGTTTGTGAAACGCGATTCAAAAGAAACCGTTCAATTCTAACAAATTACATTCGCAAAACAAGTTACAACTGATGTTTTTTAATCAACGTCTGGTTTTGAACAAAAAATATCGCCCTACGCGCGATATTCAGGGTAGTTCCTAGAAAAATGTGTGTGTCACGCTCGTTTTTCAAGAGGACATAAAAGTCATCATATCCAGTCATTGGTCGAGCACAATGTGCCACCAACGTGGAAATCAGAATCTTCGCGGTAGGTCCACGTAAGAATTCCACAATATTTTGTCGTAGCCACAATGGTGCTAACGAATGTCCTTTACCCATGGGATTTTCGTCTCGAGAAACCGTCTCGAGTTTCCCTGACATCATCACTCCCCGGAAGTACGGCGGCGTTTTTGAGCCATTATTCAGCAACCTACCTAAAATAGAACAAGATTCCTTGCGTAAACTGCCGCAGCAACCATCGCTAGGTTTTAATAAAACTTGGATAGCATTAATATGATCGGCACTCTGAATGATATTAATTGCATGTCCAAATTCTGTTCTTTTTTATTGAGCTGCCCACAATAAGGTAGGCGAGACAATAAAAAGAAAAATCGTTGGAATTAAAGAATAGTTACGGTCTCTTGCGAATGGAACTGAAGCTCTCTCATGATAATGCAAAATGCGATAAGTCAGCTCGGCAGAGCCAGAGTAGATTTAAGAGTAGACTTCACGCGTGTATGACTTAAAATACTTTAGAGCACAAAGTGCCGCGCCTACTAGTAGTTCGGTGATAAAGGTGTAAGGATATCATTTAATACTTCTTTTCATTACTGCAGTAAAAGCGCGTAACATGATTACGAGCAACATTTACTGCGGCCGAACGAGCAGTTAACTGTACATCGTTTTCACAAGCGAGCGGCTCGTAATCATGCGTGGTTTTATGAAAGCAAAGATTCTTTTTCTCACGGTTACTTTGACGTGTCTTTTATGAGCGCGAAGCAGTCGCGCAGATTTAATGCCTCTTATAAAGGAGGATACGTAATTAACGAAAAGTCCGCGCGCACGCACACGCACGCGAACATGGCGGAGGCACGTGCTATGTCGCCGATAATATGACGAGATTGCTTGTCAAAAGGTCGGGGAGATTCGTACTTCAGTTAAAATTATTTTGAAGGAATAAAAGGCAGCGGAAATATCTTGGACTATTGCGCAAATAAAAGAAGGGCTTAATTAAAAAACGGGAGATACACAAACGTGTATATGTTGAATACGCCTATTTATGTATTGTACTTGGGCAATCATACAGATTCTAAATTGTATTTACCTACTCCCTAAAGTTTTTGGAGTGAAAATAGAAGTGAAATTGGTGAGACGTCCGCCTAGAGTGTAGGGAGGTCCAGGTTTAAACCCTGGTAGGGTTAATATTTTTCGCAACATATTTTCTCTAATTAGAATTGCCAGTTGCGTCGTTTAACAATTTTTCTACATTGAAAATAGAAGCATGGAGTGAAATATTCGCTCTATCGGAGTAAATATTCCCTGTAACAGAGTGAACATTTCACTCCCTGGCTCTACTTTCACTTCAAAACTTTAGAGAGTATAAATAATTTTTATAAATACAAAAGGAAAAGTAATTGCACAAAATTTTTATTGTATCTTAAAAATGCAGAAAGTGCATGTATAAGACTGAGTATGTATTATTTTCTCTCACTTATTAGAAATTATTGATCATAATTTTTCAATACTTCTCATGAAATCACTTTCATAAAAATATGAAATGTTGAAACATTAGATTTGATTCACGACTATGAGTTAGCGCTTGATTTCACATCTTTTGTACCAGTGTTTGATTTTATATCTTTTGTACAAACGTTTGACACAACTAGAGACGCGTGTACCTGACGCCATTTTGTTTTAAACAACACACCCTTGTCAAATTCTACGCGGCGAATATGTCTATAAGAAATATTTCAGTCTTAAGTCATCAGACCTGGTTGTCTTATGGATCTGTGCTTCCACGAAACTCTATTACTGTCTTCTCAACGAAGATTAAAATCACCTCGCGACGCCGTTTCGTGATTCCTCGGGAATGACAGGAGGCTCCCGTTCTCTGTGATACGCGGCTATTCAGATTAGCGAGAGTCCCCTTAATCGAAAAGGAAATAAATCGTCGCGCGAGGGGGTTAATTAAGTTTTACGACCGTCGCCGTTATGCAGGTGTATACGGCCGCATTATCTACGATATATCTTCATCTCTGTGAGATCCGCGAGACCAATCTTGGTCAGCGCGTTCTTCCCCCCCGTTCCCCTTCTCTCTCTCCCTCTGTCTCTCCGTTTCTCTCTTTCTTTTACTCTGGTACGCCCGGTTGCACTTGTACACCAGCGATCGTATCGCGCCCCGGCGAAAACAACAGGTGCAGGTAATCACAGACCGCCCCGCTGTCACTCCGAGATTCACCCCGACTTCGCTGTGACGTCGTCCAACTTTAGAATTTAGGACAAAAAGCCGGTAGCCAATGAACGGTCTCGTTAATCCACGACATTTGTTAGCGGATCAGCAAACATAATCGTGGGAAATCCGCGTTGTTCGCGATCGGCTCGTCGAGAGACTTGCACGACGAAAAAGAACGAATGTGAACGCAACTCTGTCGTGATTTCGAAATAAATCGCGAATGCGGAGAAATATGAAATTAAATTGGGTCGAACTATAGATATATGTTTTTTTACATTTCATATTCTATAACTGTCATATAATTTAAAAATATAAAATTCAAACTGGAGGAAAGAGCGACTGCTTCAAAGTAGAAGTATCGATCATTCAAACTGCAAATCACTGAAATCTAGAAACTCTCGGTATATAAACTGACAGCGTTATTGAAATATATTGAAATCTTTTCTGGAAGTAGTCTAATTTCATTCTAAAGACATTACACTTGGAGCGATCCATCTTTTTATAAAATACCGTAGTAGTCAGAGAAACATTCTGTATGTGTGCGTGTCATAACTATGTTATGAACTGAATAATAGCATGTAACTAAAATTTTTGCGTAAATAACTAATAATCCAACTACAATTATTAACTATTGTTATTATTTTTAATATCTGTTATGTATAGTACATGTCCACAATCACTCACAAATCATGTTTGACCATTTATGTATTATAACTGTTAATAAAATAAAGAAATAATCAATTTCGAAAAAAGACAGATACTAGATTTAACAGTTGTTCTTTAATCTTTTAGAAGAATTTTAAAAGAGAAAATCTTTTATAAAAAATAGGAATTTGTTTTCAAGATCCAAAGAGAAAGAACATTTCTCTCAATAGCTGCGCGAGCGCGCGACTATAGATTGATACTAAAGAATTTCCAATAAAACCGTAAGGATTGTAGAGATACCGACAAGCTCTTTTCCCTCCCTTTAAAGCTTTCTAAAATTGTAATAAAAAATGAAAGGGTTGACGATGAAATACTTGGGCGTGGGTCGTACAAGGGGCGCCCTGAAATATCGATACACGCCGGACACGCGAAGTCGAGAGGTGTTAAGCGAGCAAGCGCGCGCGGAACCTCTTTCTCAAAGAGAAGGAACCGGTACGAGAGAGCGGCGGCGGGCCGCGGGAATTGAAATTGATTTCGACTGACTTCCATTACTCAAAAGGAGAGGACCGGGGCACGCACCGCGCACCGACAAAAGTCCCAGGATCGATCCTACGAGGATAAGAGCTCGGGGGCCGCCTGAGGCCACGACGCCCCCAGTTGGACACGGACAAGAGGTCCCAGCCGGCTGTGGCCCCAGGAATTCCTGGCGTTTACCAACAACCCATCCGGAGAGATAGAGGAAGAGTGAGAGCGAGAGAGAGAGAGAGAGAGAGAGGAGCTCACTCCTTTTGCTTGCGCCGACGCCAAGACGTCGCGCCGCGTCGCGCCGCGCCAGTGCCCAAATCTTGTCGATCTCCTCGAACCCGAGCCGACGATGCCGCGTCGTCGTCGCGCCGCGCCGCGCCAATGCGGTGCACCTCGCAAACCCTCGATGGATTCGTCAGCTTTTCCATTGTGTCATTCGTCTCGCGTGTGACATTACTTTACGAGCGCCGATCCGGCCTCTGTTCCTGGACCACCCGGTAGACTGATATCATGTTCAAAATCTCTTTGAGGAGTGGTTTCCAGAATCTCTCGGCAATATGGTTTCCACCGCGTTCGAAATTTAATAAAGAGAGCTGCGCTCGCTTTGCTGATTTTTAAAGCCAGTAAAATTTTTTTCTTTTACATATAAGAAGATTAATATGCTAGGAATACTTGCAATACTATAAATTGTAAAACTTGTATGGATTACTGTCTTATTAATCTCAGATTGGATTAATTTTTGTGACAAGTTTTTCACCGACTTTTATTTTAGCCAAAAAATTATTAGTAATATACGCACTCAAGAGCATCAATTTTTATTTCACGACTTCGTAAATTTTTGTGTAAACTTTTCGTTTTTTTTTCTATTCAAATTTTGTCTCATTCTTACCGAAATATTCTAAAGGGTGATCATATATTTAACACTAATTTAACACGTTACATATAAAATTCTTTCGCATGAGAAACATATTGTTGTTTTATAATGTAAATTTATCGTGCGCAATGTTTTAAATTAGATGGCATTAAAACAAAATTGACTCGAACGAGATGGCTATCGCTTATGAAAGCGAATGGCCATCGCTCTTGAGACAAGTTTTGACTAATGTAGCAAACGACCTCCGCCGATTGACCGCATCCCACAAAAGATGAGGTCCATTCATAGTTTTATGCCTGCTTCAGAATTCGAGTGTAGGAGGCGTAATGTTGACATAGCAGCGACAAGACGTCAGCGGTACGTCCAAATGCGAAGGCAACCGGATCAAGAAGCGAGAGAGAGCGAGAGAGAGCGAGAGAGAGAGAGGGGGGGGGGAGAGAGAGAGGCGTGTACGATGGCATCGGTGCTTGTTAAAACGACCTCAGACTATCGCAGCAGGGCACTTCCTTCGGCGGCAAACCTCCAAGAGAGCGGTGGGGCCTCCCGAGAGAAGTTCCTCTTCGGCCTCGGAATCGCCGCCGCGTGTCCACGGACGGATCGTTAAAGAGTAAGAGAAGTAATGGGGCTCCGTGCCGAAAGTGGCGTCACGGTTTACCGCTCGATGAAGAGAGCGGGGGCTCATAACGACGCACACCGATCTCCGAAGGATTCCGAAAGAGAGAATCAGGCGTTTTGAATG